GGTTTGCCAGTTTTTAGCTAGGCTGGCTGACCAGCAGTCACCAAAATCCTGTTTCCATTGGTCCTACTACCCCTTAGTGGGTGGTTATAGGCACATGTAGCCATGCCTTACCCAGCAAGACACTTTCTCAACACTATGAAGATATATTTTTAGAAATCCTATCAAAGCTGGCACTCATCTCATGCTGACATTGATGCCTAGAAAATACTTGTGGGATTTTTCTGAAGAGGACATTTGCTTATTGGATTCAGCATCCTTGACTCCTCAAACTTGGTTTCTTCACCTGTATCTGAGGTTAGTAGCAGGATCACATACAGTGCCCGAGAAATGTGCAGCAGTGATGAACATGCTCACAAGTTTTTGGTGGATGTCTATTGCATTTGTACATAATACACTGCACCATGTTTCTCAGGCAGGAGCTAATCCTTCCTTTCCACATACAGAGATATAGGTTGTTAACTGTCAAGTCATCCATAGAAGTTTTAATTTGGCTGGTGAATATTTAATTTCTGGCTTGAGAGATTGTTTGATTCTTCCAACTTCTGAATCATCCTAGCAAAGTAGTATCTGTGAAAGCCATCTTAACTTGAACGGCTACAGAGTTACTAAGTATAAGGGTTGACTGTCTGCTCTGAAAACATTGTAGCCATAATCAGAAGTTTACAGTTGGGCGAGCCATTTCTCAGGAGTTGGGAGACCTGGGGGGGGGTGACTGCCACACAGAGCTTCCTGCTTATAACTAGGGCAGAACAGGTAAAGATGGAAAGAAACAAGACCCGTAGTGACAATTCTGACATTCAGAGGTAGCCATCAGAGCTGTGTTTTCTTCCCAGAAGTCCTGGCTGTAGTGTGGATTGTGAAGTATTCCCGAGACACTTGGAATGTGTTGGGAACTCCCACCATCTGTCAGAGAGAGGCATGTAGAGTATTTATTTGAACACAGGATGCTGAGATTCCTGCCAGATTGTAGATGCGATGCCCTATGACTATCCACCTAAATGAACACTGTCAAATGTAGGCTCCAGGGCTTTTACTTTATTGATCTGACTAGAATAATAAATGTATCCTTGATTTTAATATAATTAGCAATTGTACCTTCTTTCTGAATTAAGGCTTTCCATTAAAGTGAAAACAAAATTTTAAAATTTTATTCTTTATTTCCCATCATTCTTTGAAGCAATTTTATGAAATTGTTGGCATAGAAGGTTTTTGAGCCTCAAAATTTCCTTATAATAAATGAGTAATGATCTGAGTTTTCTTCAAGCATTGTACTGTTTTGTAGATTCTTGGGTCTGAAAGTTTCTCTGACAAGTTCCTCCTTTTCTTTTTACATGGAGAACAATAGCTACACCCTCCACCTTTGTAGCTTCCCTAAGAGCTTACATCAATCGTCATGACATATCTCTGAGACATATAAAGATATTTTAATGAAAATAAACACTGATATCCACCTGTGATGTTCTCACCAACAATAGACTTTCCAGCAGTAATTCCATTTCTGTTCATCATGCAGACAGGAGTTTTGTGGGGGCAGTGAGAACACTTCTATCTCAGCTCTTGATACTTTTGGGGGTTTGGCAATATAGTTTACATATTTGATCTTCCCTGTGTAAAAACCTGCCATCTCACCAGTTCCTCTAACACAAGACTATCTTGTTTGCCTCCTTTCAAGGCCAGCGAAGTTGAAGTAGAGTGAGACTATAAATAATCAATGAAGTAACAAGCACTGTCTCCAAGATCCCAATGACCCACCTTAACCAGAGTCACATTTCTTTTCCTTTATGTAAACACAAAAGCAAAGGGGAAGATTTAGGTTCCAGTAAGATGTTGGAGGATGAGGAGGATGAGGAGGAGGAGGAGGAGGAGGAGGGGGAGGGGGAGGAGGGGTGAAGGAGAAAGAGGAGGAGGAGGATACTGAGCTCAGCTCAGGGACTTGATTCCTTGGGCATTTCTTGGGAGGCAGAGTCTTCCTCACTGTTAATATTCTATTTTGCCATGTAAGGATCCTCACAAGGCTCATAGCCATGTGAATACAAGAGAATCATGGCTCCATAGATGCTAGTACCAAGAGTATACAGAGTGCCAAAGAGTGGGTATATGCAGTGGTAGAGGGAACCGAGTGTGGCTGCAGATGGCCCTGAGAGATCTCTGTGGGTTGGTAGAAAGGTTCTAAAATTTGATGATGATGATGTTTGCGCAACTCTACATAAAATCATGGAATTACAGTCTTTAGAAGAGTGAGCTTTACAGTTTGCAAATTACACCTTGATAAACTAATAAAAATTCCTGAAGTTTGTGATGTTGCTAAAGGAACCCCCATTTCCTTTTGGCCAGAAAGATGCTGTGGGACTCTGAAGTGCAGTGTCAGATCTGAAGGCTTTCTTACCTATGAGCAGGGCAGGGGAGGTATGGGAAGGTGGAGGGATGTGGGCAAGCTGGATATGCCACAGGGCAGTGCTGCAGTCACCAAACAAGAAGAATGGTTCCATGGTTATGGTCATGACAAATTTAAATAGGTTCTCAAATGAAGGTACATCCTTCTGCAGAGCTTGAAGGCTGTCTGTCACTGTAACTTTTTCATTAGTTTGAAAACAATACTTTATAGTCAGAAATCTTATTGTTAAATCCTGTCAGCCCATATAGGCTTACCTTTTAAATGACTTGATCAAATGTACTACAAAGACTTGAGTTCATATAGTAAATCTTATTGCATTATTTTGGCATGGCTAATATACCTTAATTACCATTTTCTTTTGAGTATTATTTAATAATGTGCAGAATACATTTACTGTGATATTTTAGTATTTTGACCCCCACCCTGTGTATGTGTGTGTGTTTGTGTGTGTGTGTGAGTGGTGTTTGTACCGTAATGTAGTATGTGTGTGGTGTGTGCATGGTATCTGTATGTGTGTGTGTATGCACTTCTGTGTGGTGTGTGTTTGTCTATGTGGTGTGTGTTTGTGTATGTGGTGTGTGTGCATGCACATACGTGTGTGTGGTTTGCTTGTGTGTTTGTGTGTGTGTGTGTGTGTGTGTGTGTGTGTGTGTTATGCATGCACATACGTGTGTGTGGTTTGCTTGTGTGTTTGTGTGTGTGTTTGTGTGTGTGTGTGTGTGTGTGTGTGTGTGTGTGTGTGTGTGTGTGTGTGTGGTGTTTCCGTAGGGCTCTGCTATCTTGTATTGTTGAGACTTGAGATAAACCTGCAAGGGGAACACAGGAAACAATTGACACTGCTTCTTAATTCCCATTGTTTCTAAGACATTTCCTATTTCCTAGTATAATATAGCTTTCCCATGAGAACAATTCACTTGCAAATGGTTAGACATAGATTTCTCGTTGGCCCATGTTCTGTGGGGAGATTGTTCACTGTGCTTTGTAGTAAGAAGTTGCTGCTTTTGCATGTTGTTGTGGGGAGTTCTGCTTCAGGTGAAGATGCTCCAACTTTTTTCCTAGCATCAGGAATTTTCTGTGACACACGACCCCTGAGAGTTCTTTCTTCCATAGTTGGAGTCTTTTTCTTGAAGCAGTGCATGATTCATTTAAGCTGTCAATTGAAGGAAAATCTCATGAATTATGATGTTTTTAGGGGTGCCTGGTGAGTTCCATGGAAAGTAGTTCACAGCCATTGATACTCAGGAGGCTGAGTTACATAGCGGTTTGTGATATTATCTCTGGAACTTGTGAAGTACCATCAAAGAATAATTCTAGAAATGGGAAATGAAACACTTAGATGAGATAACCTAATCTAATTTGCAATAAAAGAGTGTTCAAATTGCTTCTGAAATGGTGATTCCCATACTCAGAAGTTATACTGTATATAAAGTAAAAGTCAAAGTTTTTCAATTAAAAAAAAAAGATGTGGAACTTTAAGTTCCTTTTTCATCTTACCAGATTTGAGAAAATGATACTGCTTGTCAGTGTCGAAGTGCCTTCCCTCTGGAGGCCTGGAAGCAGTCAGATCTGTTTTTCTCATGCCCTTCTCTTCAAGGCAGTTTTTGCTGGGATGAGTCTTTATTTTTATCATCCCAACAACTAGTTTTTTAGAAACTTCTGGAAACGAAAAAGAGGAATGAGAATGGCACTGTGGCTGACATTCGTTTTAGCGTTTCCTAGTGTGAACATTTGAGTACTTCTAAAATCTCTCCAAGTATGTCTTATTTTTCTCAGTTTGTCCCAGTTCTCAGTCTCTGTTCTGCTGATTGGATTAAAAAAAAAGTTACAGTGTAAAACCTTGTCCCCAGTAGAATGACTTCTTGAACTTTTGATCTTTATTTTTGCAGCTCAGCAGCTTCTCTCCCTCCATTCTAGTCAATATAACTACAGGTCATGAAAAACTAGGGCAGAGCAGACCTTTAAGGGTTACTCAACGCCGTAAGCACCTCATGGTATAAAAGGATGAGGACGAGGCTCCAAGAGTTAAGGGGCTGGTAATTTAGCTCATTGGTAGGGTATTTGTCAAGGGTATGTGAAGCTCTGCTTCTAGCAGAAAAAAACGGGGCATAATGGTGCATGCCTGGAATCCTAGAACTTGGGAGATGGAGGCAGTAGGTCCAGAAGTTCAAGGTCATCCTCTGTTCCATATCAAGTTAAAGTCAGCCAAGGCTACATGGGACCATGTCTCTTAAACAAAACAAAAAACCAACCAAACAAAAGACGTTCAGAGAAGGTGACGTAGACACCAGATGACAGATATGTGAACAGAATCAAGAATTCTTGCTTTCTAGTTTGATATTCTTTGATTTTTTTTCCTTAACCCTATGGCCTAAACCCTATGCATGTGGGGACAGAACCGAACACCAGCCAATGGGTGGAATTATACTGTAGCCAAGTGAAATTTGAAAAAGAATTCTTTTTCAAGAATTCAGTTCTTTGAGTTAGCAAATACTGAGTGATAATGCCATCCATGCTCATAAAGGTATCTGGTCTGTGGTTCTTGTGTGGTTTATATGTAGAGACATCATGAGTTGAAATGACTGTTGACTTGTCTACTTTTCCTTAGGCCACCACACCATCTACATCGGGGTCCATGTGCCCAAGAGCTACCGGAGAAGGAGACGTCACAAGAGAAAGGCAGGGCACAAGGAAAAGAAGGAAAAGGAAAGAATCTCTGAGAACTACTCAGACAAATCCGATGTGGAAAATGCCGATGAGTCCAGCAGCAGCATCCTCAAGCCGCTCAGTGAGTATTCTTTTTCAGCACCGCTCTCTGTCTCATTCATCCTCAGCAAGATACTTCCCAGAATCTCATGGCCAATGTAGAGGGAGTCAGGAATCCTGGGGCGGTCTGTTTAATGGGTGATGACTGTAAACATGCTCCTTGTGCTGACAAGTTAATCTGAGAGCTCGTGTGGAAGATTCTGAGTTGATGGAGGAAAGATGTGAGCAAGTGTAGGTACAAATGGCACTTCTACATCCAGACAATTGAGGTAGGGCAGAGTTTCAAGGATGATCTAGTAGTTAACTACGGTAATCAACAGTTAGAGGCTCTTTGGGTTGATTCTGCTTGGAAATAGGTTCTACTGAGACACTAGGTGAAGATGAGAGTGCATGTGTATATATGTTCATCTTCCCAATGTCACAGTCACAGGTGACATTTAACTGGATTGTGGGCCATGTCAGTGATTTAAAAAGGAGTATCAAGTGAGGCATTGCATAGTGCAGAGAGGAATGTTGAGTGACACGGTTTCCAAAGGTCGAGCATTGTAGATTTCATGCATTGTATAAAACATTACGATGGAATAGCAGGAGATCAAAGAGCACCCTTGGACTCAAGTGACAAGTGGACTGTGGGTTTAGGCATATGTTTATGCTACGCTGTGTTTGTTGAGTGTGGAGCCTCTTGATAAATGGGGAGCCTTATGTCTGGAATGGGAATGAATCTGTAGAGGGGAAGTGCATGGCAGTGGTGGAAGATTCCTGAAGAAGACTGACTTAGTGACAGCTTTCCTGCTGGCAGAGCTCTGTACATTCTTCATCTCTTGCAGAAACCCAGACCCTGCAATAAAATACATTATGGGTGGCACAGATAAAGATCAAGTTCGGTCATTGCAGGTGATGACAGGCCAAATTAGAATGAACAGCTCAGGGGTGTTGAGAAATGAATTTACAGCATTAGATTAAAGAGGGTACCAAGGGTAGTGGTGTGAATCTTTTATAGCCTCAGCACTGGAATGAAGCAAGTGGCTTAGGAAGCCAGACAAGTCCCACTCTTAAGAGGAGTGACACAGATGGGCCACTGAATTAATATTAAGAATTGAAGAATTTGGATGTGGACTTATATTCTGAAAAGGGAGTAGAGTAAGTGTGAGATGTAGGAGGGAATAGAGGGCAGGTGACTAAAGCTGTGTTATTTTCATTGGAATGCCAGGGAACTTTTTCTAAAGGGATT